CCATTGTTTTTGCAGAGGGAGCCAGCTGGCCTATTGCCTCATTTGTGTTTTCATGTGAGCTGAATAACTTAGGATCTGCTTTTCAAAATACTGCTGGAAACTTTCGGAAGACTAGGCAGTCTGTGTGACCCCTCTGTTTAGCAGTAGATCAGAAGAGGAGTTCAAGACTGGGCATAAGGTGCTCTATATTCCACCACATAGAAGAAAAATCCAAACCTTCCACCCAAATCTTGGCCCAGAGAGTATGAACTGCTATTGTTTATCTTAATGGGAAGTTGACTCTGAAACCTAATGATGACAATGTTAACTTCAATGTTAACCACTTCACTGCTGATCAAAGCATACAGCAAAAAAGAGGAAGAATCATAGTTTGGAGATATACACGGTCTACTGAAAATGACATTTTTTTCTCAGCATTGTGAACGGGTAAACCCAGGGTTCTGGAACAATTTATATAGAAGGGGTGACATTGAACCAGACTGTAAACCCTGTATATCAGTGGTTCTCAAAGCCGGTCCGCTGCTTGTTCAGGGAAAGCCCCTGGCAGGCCGGGCCGGTTTGTTTACCTGCCGTGTCCGCGGGTTCGGTCGATCGCGGCTCTTACTGGCTGCAGTTTGCCGCTCCAGGCCAATGGGGTCTGCGGGAAGTGGCGCAGGCTGAGGGATGTGCTGGCTGCCCTTCCCCATTGGCCTGGAGTGGCGAACCGTGGCCAGTGGGAGCCGCGATCGGCCAAGCCTGCGGACATGGCAGGTAAACAAACCGGCCCGGCCCGCCAGGGGCTTCCCCTGAACAAGCGGTGGACCGGCTTTGAGAACCACTGCTGTATATGATGGAAACCACTACAAGCCAGGGAGTGTGGCAGCACCCCTACTTCTAACACCTATGGGTAAAGTTTGACTTATAGGCAGCTTTTTTTAAGTGCATCACCAGTTATATTTTTCCATTATGACCCTAGGCTCCAGCTCACTGAAATGTCTAAACCTCAGAGAACCTTTTTGTGAACATAGGCTGAAGTTTGTTGCTGGTTTGTCTTTTCTTCATCATCATCATCGTGTTCCTATTACGCCTCTGGCATTTATGGCAGTGACTAAGCTCCTCCACTCCTGTTTGTTTCTGACAAGTCTTTCAATGGTTCCCCAGGTTTTTCAGCTGGGCTTCCATAGCTCTTCATGTTGTTTTCAGGTGGCCTCATTTTCGCTTGCCTTCAGGTGTCCATCTTATTGCAACTCTGGTGATGGAATCAGTTTCCATCCGAAGCATGTGACCGATCCATCTCTAATGCCTCCTGGCAATGATGGTGCTCAGATCCTCTGGCTGCAGTGTGTCAATAGATCTTGGTTTGAGATTGTTCTGGGACAAAAGATATGGAGGATTTTTCTGAGGCAGGCTGTATGGAATGAAGACAGTTTGGACATGTCATACTTTCTCATTCCCCAGCATTCTGCACTATAAAGTAGTGTTGAAAGTATGCAGCTCTGATAAATCTTAAGTTTGGTTTTGGTGTTGTATTTAAGCTCCTGCAGATGTTCCTGGCTTTGATTTTGTTCTGGATGTCCTGGCTTGTTCCACCATCCTGGCTCGTGGTGCTGCCTAAGTACAGTTTGTGAATGTTTCTACATTGGTGAGAACATAATCCTCTATCCGTACTGGCGATAGTGTGGCAATATTAAAGGTCATGATATGTCTTTTATTGCGGTTGGTTTTCAGTCCAATTTGCTGGCTGAATGCGTTGAGTCAAGTTGTTTTTTCTTGTATATGGTGTTAGGTATATGATAGAATGACATTATCTGCGAAGTTCAGGTCTTCAAGGGATGAGAAGAGTGTCCATTTAATGCCTCTTGGCAGGTTTTCTGTTGTACACCGCATTACCCAGTCGATGGCAATGTTGAAGAGGATTGCAGACATGACACACCCCTGATGTACTCCTGTTTTGACTTCAAAAACTTTACTGAGAGAGAATTATACATCTAGTAAAGGACATGCTGCTGAAAGGTGTTGCCATTATTATCTCCTACCAGCAACTCAGGTCCAGAGGGCTTTTTGCTATAGGAATTTTTCAGGGGGCTGGCAAGCAGCAGCAGCATATGGGTATGGCTTAGTGTTGGGATACTTCTTTGTAATCTTAAAGAGAAAAAAGGGGGCAGGGGAAGCATAATGAGAGCTAATGGCTGGAAGCTGAAACTAGAGAAGATACCTTCCCTGGTAAAAAATTGTAATTAACCATTATAACTATTTATCTCCATCACTTAGTCTTTAAATCAGAATTGGATATCTTGCTAAAATATATGCTATAGCTCAAATGGAAGTTATGGTCTTGATGCAGAAATTTAGGGCTTCAATTCTTAGACTATTTCCCAGAGGCCTCCCATAAAAACTGCAGGGGGCTTAAACATATTTACAGGTGCTGGCTCTGGACAGCTCCAGCTGAATTTAAGTCCTGCAGAAATTACCAGGTGAAGTTCTGTGGCCTGTGTTATGCAGAAGGTTAGAGCAGACCATCATGATAGTCCTTCAGGTTATAAACTCTATGAATCTTGTGTAATGGTCACTCCTACTTTTACATGCTGTGCAGGCGCACCCCCAGCCCAGCTCCCACAGGTTTGTCTGTCGGCTTGGAGCACTGAATGATAGAATAACCACAGAACATTTACACTGATAAAAGAACAGGAGTACTTGTGGCACTTTGGAGACTAACATCTTCATCATCTAGGGAGGAGTATGGCAGAAAGGGATCTAGTGGTTATAGTGGAACCACAAGCTAAATATGAGT